ATTTGGATATGCAAAGAATAAGAATGTATACAGGCTATTTAGATTAGGAAAGGAGACTCGTCATAAGATCTAGAGATGTGGAATTCTTGAAGGCTAAGTTTTCAAAGGATGATGAAAAATTAAACCTCATTACAAATCCAAGTAATTATCGATATAATCTCAAATCTTCTCGAAGTATTGAAGAACCATAGAGAAGTACACGAGTTAGAAAAAAGAAGAATCGAGGAGATGATTTTCTCTTTTATTTGTTTGAAGGCACATAAAAGAAAGTGACAAGGGTTCTCATTTTCTCCATTAACTTGGATGATAATACTAAGACCTATAGTGAATCCACATCGTCTATAGATCATCATTTAAAGGAAGCTTCCACTAACAAATGACTTTGGTTATTGGTAATAGATATTAGGAGTTAGGTTATCTACCAAAGGGAAAAACCTCATAGGATGTAAATGGATTTTCAAATTAAGCATCATCCAAATGGATCACATATATCTAAATGGATTTTCAAATAAGTATCATCCAAATGGATCCGTATATGTCAATAAGTTAATATTAGTTACCGAGGGAAATGGGTAGAGATAAGGAATTGAATACTTCGATACCTATGATTCGGTTTCGAGGATTAGTTCTTAATAATTCTCACTTATTTTTCATAACAATAATTGTTATATTTTGTCCTTAAGAGCCTCGATATGGGAAATGGATGAATATGCTCATTTTTAGATATTTTCAGGAACTTCATATTGAAAAAAGAATATGGGGACTCTTCTTTAACATACACAAGAACAAAATATCATTGTATCTGATTAAAGGTGCAACTGATTTCTGTTTTATGGTTACCTGGTTGATTAATAATAAGAATTAAATACAATGAGAATGATACTATAAAGACCCTTGTTTAATTTATTAGTAGTTGTAAGACCCATGTATTACATGGTTCATTTAAAAGAAAAAGAAATATGAAAATTCTAACCATTTGAAAAAAGTTTGAATTTATAAGAAAAATTAGAAAAATATTGAATTATTAAAATTAAATTGATTTTTTATCTTTTAAATTTAAACAAATAATTTAAATAAATAAACAAAGGAAACTAATAAAGTTTTAATTTTGAAATGTTGAAATTATAAGGAAAGTCAATTATTAAAATTGATATACATTTATTATTACATTTATTGCAATTATTGCATTTAAATATTATGTGAAATTTAATAGAATGAAAAAAAAACCACAAAATGTCATGTGAAAAAAATTTAATTTAAAATAACCACAAAAACACGTGGTCAAATCAATGAGAGTGTGACATGTGACAAAAAGATTTTCATTTATTAAAGTAGATTTTACTTTTATTTATTTTATTGAATTTGTTGTCTCATTGTAAAAGTGATGTTATATCACCCCTGTGATGGGTGTCTAGTGGTTGAGAAGTGAAATTCCACACCGGAGGTCTATGGTTCAAACATTGACATTGTTCCACGATTGACCTCCCACGCAGGCCGTGGAGCGGGTTAACATGAGCCACTAAAACTTTGGTTTACCATTTTTTAAAGACGATTTTAAATGTCTGCATGTTTTCTATTTGTTTATGGCTCAATGCAAGGAGTAACAATGTATTTATGATTATCTGTTTATCATAGCCTCTTGCTTGCAATTTATGTTTACTACAACATTGCATTTTTTATATAGTCATTGTTTTTATTAGTACATAATATTTTTTAAAAATATACCAAATTATTTTACATGTGGATAACATCACCTATAATTTTGTAGATTTTATGATGGATAATGCATTCACAAGAAGAAATGAAGGTATGATGGTATAATAAAACTTTCTTGTTTTTTGTATGTTGTTCTAAATGTAAGAAATAACAATGTACTATACTTATAACATCATGCTTTATTTTTTTCGATCATAGTGTTACACTTAATTTTTACTTTTATTTTTTTATTAAGTCCTTATACTTTAAAGTATCTACTCAATGAATATATTACCAAATTATTTTTTATTAGGACAATATACTTTGAAATATATGATCGGTTTTTATAAGTTTAGTTGATATTGTTAGGATTAGACATATTTTCTAGATAAAGTATTATATCAAGAAAAAATGATATTAACATGCTATAATAAGCAAATAAATAAAAAGTATGTCGATTTTTTTGGTGTTAAACATTTAACTCTTTTATTATAATTTAATGATTATAGCATGTAACTAAATTATTATTTTATTTTAAATAATATAAAACGTTATGAAAACGTTTTAAATTAAAAGTGAAATGATATATACTTGATATTGATTTCTTTTTAAGGCGTATTTGGCAAAATTAGTTGAAATCTGGTAGCGGGTAACATATAGTTGATAATGGATAACATATAGTTGGTAGCTGGAAGCTGTAACTTTTATTTGTTATATTAATGTTTGAGAAAAAAATTAGTTGGAAGCTAAATTACATAAAATAACAATTGTTTAAAAAAGATACATAAATAAATATATTTTTAGGGTAATTCTGAAAATTGATTAAAAATACTTATTATCTTGTTCTTAAACGCTACATGAAGTAGCTTTTAGATTTGAAATTTTTTGTTTAAACTAAAAGTTAAACACTTGTACTTCTAAATGAAGACTCTAGTTTCAATCGAGCTTTTTGTTAAAAAACTAAAAGTTGGAAGCTCCAAACGTTTGCTTCCAGACATGTCCTTAGGGTGTATTTGGAAAAGCTGAATGGTGGCTGGAAGCTAGAAGCTGCTAGTTGGTAGATGATTTTTTTTTTTGTTTAAAAGCTAAACGTTCGTACTTCCAAATGAAGCTTTTTTGTTTATATTATTTATTTTAATACACATCTTTAATCATGTATAAAATTACTAAATTATCTTTTACTAGATTAGTAAGTTTCATCAAATATGATACTTTAATATGTACTTTTTAGAAAAAGTTTATTTATTTATTTATTTATTTTTTTATTCTATGAAATATTAAACTATAATATATTTTTCTTTGTAGTTATTTATAAAACTTAGTTCGCAACTAAACAATTTGTTTTTCGTTTCTTTTATAGATTTGACTGATATTCAATTATCTGTATGTTTTTTAAATGTATTGCCTCTTCAAAATCGAATTGTAAAAAATGATCCAACCGAATTATATTTTGGTTAGATCGGATCAGATCTAAATTTAGTTTGAACTATTTAGATCCATATTTCAAAAACCAAAATCAATTTGGATTCACTTGATCGGATCAGATCAAACCAATCAATTCAGACGAGCACCCCTAGTTAGGCTCACATGTGCTTTTATGCAATACTTGACCCACTATATATCGAAGCCTCGTTGCTGGGGGAGAGCCGACCTTTGACCCCACTTTATATCAAGGCCTCGTTGGAGCTTTACAATACCTGACTTTTACTCATCCTAACATTATGTATGACGTGCAACAAGTTTGCTTTTTCATACATTACCTATGTGCTCCACATTTTCATGCTCACAAAACGCATCCTACGCTATCTTTAAGGTACTCTGATGCGAGGTGACATGGTCTTCGTATTCACCTGTCAGCCGTTGATCGCTTGGTTTCCTACTCTGATGCTGAGTGGGCCGGGTGTCCTACTACTTTTCGACCCACTTCCGGGTTTTGTGTTTATCTTGGAGATAACCTCATCTCATGGTCATCCAAACGACAACATGTAGTCTCTCGCTCTAGTGTCGAAGCCAAGTACCGGGGGTAGCCAATGTTGTTAAAACTGTTTGGCTTTAGAATCTTCTTCTCGAGTTATCCTATCCATTGTCTTGTGTTACTCTTGTCTTTTGTGATAATATCGGTACCATGCATTTTGCGTCTAACCCAGTTCAACACCAAAGAACAAAACATGTGGAAATTGATTTACATTTTGTTAGGGAGTGTGGTGTGATTGATCATGTGCGTGTTTTACATATTCCGTCAACGTATCAGTATGCATATATTTTTACAAAGGGTTTACCTGTTTTGCTGTTTCTTGACTTTAGAAATAGTTTGAACATTCGGGATCTCCCGGTTCAAATTAGGTGTGTTAAATAGTTTATATTTTTGGGTGATTATATGGTATTGTATAGTATAGGGACCATTTGTATAATATGTATCCTAAATATATCCTCCCTAATAAATGAAAATACTTTTGCCACTTGTCAATCTCTCATGAGTTTTGACACTTGTCATTTTGTGGTATTTATAAAATAAATATTATCTACTTTTGTTTCAAATTTTAAAATTAAAGTCATATACATATATATGAAATTAAATTGCAATAAATATGTTTCTTCCTTTCTTATTTTAAAGTTTTACATTAAAAAATATTTATTGCTTACACTTTAATATTTAATTTTTTTTAAATTAACCCGTATAATATATGAGTCTCACACCTAGTTGATTCAATATATGTAAACCCTGGTTAACAAGTTTCCACGTTATTCATATGACGCATAAACCAAAATGTGCTTGATTTTGAAACATAAGGATATCAATACTTGATATCAATTTCCTAAAACTTAAACTATACCTGCAAATTGAGATATTACATAGGGACCGTATCTGTAATTTAATCCTAATATAATGATTTCTCGATAAATAACAAACGTTTAGTTCTTTCTACATTTTGGCTTCAAATAAATTGCTTATTAAAACATTTTAGAGAATCAAAATGGACAAATACACATATCGAGTCAATTTTCGAACAAACTTTTTAATTTTATATTTAGAAGATTCTAAATGCTATTTTTTCACCTTCAAAAATCAAACCCTACTTCAAAATTCCTGTCTCAAATAAGTAAAACAAATCCCCCAAAATATATTTTGATTTGATATAATCGATGATATACGACTCTTGAAAAAATCAATGTTCGATATACACAATAATTTGACTCAAATCCATTAACAAAGAATAATTCTGATATTTTGTCGATTTGTCTTTGAAAAATTAATTCAAAATCACTAAAGCTTAAAATATCACAAGTAACATGTCTTAAACATCTTTTAATCCTCACATCACATGCACTCCCCCTTTCCCCTCTATCCTTTCCACCTCATCCATATGGCTGATTCGTTCCAGACTGCTCATAACTCATTACAGACATTTGTACTCTTTACTTAATCAAGAAACCCTCTCACACCTCTGTAAAATCCCATCAAAATCCCTTCTCTTTTACGCCTGAAATTTCCCCCATTCTACCCTTTTCCTAATTTCAAGACAAATTCCGATCGGAATTCCTTATGATTTCAAATTCAAGTCACCACCCTTGACCTTGAGTCGATCTTAAGAGTGAACACCCAATTTAAAGGTTCATACTTCATAGCGATTTGTGAGAAGTTTGTTTGTGTAATGTCTAGCCAGAGTAATCGAGTTGTTGATGGATTGATCCCGGGTTACGGCAAGATCCGGAAACGAGGGTGTTCTTCATCGCCATCTTCGTCTTCTAAAGTGCATAATTACCGATTTAAGCGAGCAATTATGGTGGGGAAGAGCCGAGTGGGAGGTGGGTCCAGATCCAGTACGCCGGCGCCGTCGTGGAGGATGACGCCTTCGTCAAAATCCAAGCTTGGTGGTGGTGGGGGCGTGGAGTCGCCTAATTACGATGGCGGCGGAGGGAGGTCGAAGCCGGTTTCAGCCAGGAAACTGGCGGCGACACTGTGGGAGATGAATGAGATGCCGTCGCCGCAGAATTTGGAGACGACGAGGCGGAGGAGGGAGAAGGAGACGACGAGGGTTAGTGAGAAAACGAACCGGCCGGTTCATACACCCGGTTCGCTTCCTCCTCATTTGTCCGATCCATCTCATAGTCCTGTTTCTGAGGTCAGTTTCATCTCTAATTTCTTCTGAATTGTGAAATTTCATCATCTGGGTCGATTTTTCAGCTTAATTTCTTGTTTCTTATCACCCAAATTCGAAGTTTCTATGAACCATCATTTTCAGAACAACGTTATCGCGATTGAAGATGCTTCCAAGATTCTATTTTATTATTATTTATCTTCTGACCATTTTCAGTTCAATACGAAATCTAACAATATTATAAGACGCGATTGAAATTTGCAATTCATCCCATGGGTCGTTTTCATTGAAAAATTTCTCATTTTTATCCATCTTTCGATGCGTCATAATCTGAATTTGAAGCAGTTATGCATTTGAAACCGATTGAATTTCTGTTTTCGTGTAGAGGATTGATCGATCTGGAACAGGTTCCCACCATAGGACTTCAATTTCTCATAAACTTAAGCTCGAGGACAACAATGGCGGAAATTTCGATTCATTTAGCAACGCCAGTTTAATGGAGACTGAAACCAGATCTCGAGCTCAAACCCCTAGCGCTTCTGCCATTACTGTGAACCCACGATTAAAAGATGTCAGCAATGCTTTAACAACATCAAAAGAGCTTCTAAAAATCATTCACAGGATGTGGGCTCACGATAATCTTCCATCATCAAGCATGTCGCTCATATCAGCTCTACACACAGAGCTAGAAAGGGCCCGCCTTCAAGTCAACCACATCATCAAAGAAGAACGAACAGGTGAAACTGAAGTCAACTACCTTCTAAAATGTTTTGCAGAAGAGAAACAATCATGGAAAACGAAGGAAAGACGATCAATCGAGGCGGCAGTCGAGGCTGTTTCCGGCGAGCTCGAGGTGGAGAAAAAGATGAGGCGGCGATCGGAAAGCTTGAACAAGAAACTCGGGCAAGAATTAGCAGAAACAAAGGCGAATTTTTCCCAAGTTTTGAAAGAACTTGAAAGTGAAAGAAGAACACGTGAAATTATGGAGCAAGTTTGTGATGAATTAGCTGTTGATATTGGTGAAGATAGGCTTGAAGCTGAAGAGATTAAAAGGGAATCTGTTAAAGCTCATGAAGAAGTTGAAAGAGAAAGAGAAATGCTTCAACTTGCTGATAAATTACGTGAAGAAAGAGTTCAGATGAAATTAGCAGAAGCTAAACATGAATTTGAGGAAAAAAACGCACTTGTTGATAAATTGAGAAATCAACTCGAAGTGTTTCTGGGGAAAAAGAAAGGAAGAAAAGATGAAGATCTTATGATGTATTTGAATCAAAGCAATATTGTTGATAATGGAGAAGTTGAAAACGAGGAAGATGATGATCTTCATTCGATAGAATTAAATATGGATAATAACAACAAGAGTTTTAAGTGGACCCATGGTCAAAATTCCCACAACAATTTGGTCAACGGGAAAGGAACAAGAAGAAGTACTTCTTCGATTCAAAGAAGTATTTCCGATGTTATTGAATTCGAGAAATTAACTCCAAGAAGAAGCCATGGTGATGAATTGCAAAGATATAAATCGGTCAAAGGTCTTAGGGACAGGATTTTGACCAATTTGAAGCCACAAATTTCGAGAGATTTTGACAATGGTGTTGTTCATGGGAGTGGGTCAAAGTCTAGAGGTGAAACGGTTAATGGTAGAAGGTTAAAAAAGTGAATTTGAGTTTGAGTTTGACCCACTTTTGTTGGTCAACGGTCAATGCTTTTGACCTCCATGGATGATTGTTGTTGATGAAAACTTGGAGCTTTGAAAGATGTTAAGAAGTTAAGTTGCATGAATTTGTAGTATAAAAGTGTCAATTTTGTAGGGTGGTTCCAATCCAAGTGATTTTCCTTTGTACAAATACTTATGGTTATTTATATAATTATATAATGTACTTAAATATTTTAAAGATAATTGTTTTGGTTATATTACATGAATCTTTATCAACTTAACTAATGGGATGAAGTGGTTATGTTGGAGTGTAGTATTAAAGGGTATAAAGAATGTTGGCTTTGTAAAAAAAAAAAGTGCATATTTCAAGATTTGAACTTTGGATATCTTGACATCTTGTTATTGGAATTGTTAATGATGGTGGGCTCAATATTGTAATGTTTATTATTATTACTTTCCCTTTAACTAGTTCTAATAATATAGGCACATGGTGTCATCTTCTTTGTGACCAAAGAATCTAATTAAAGGATTAGTACAAGTAAAGTATCATGCTTGTGTCTATTATATTGGGGTTTGTGGGTCGTCATTATTTGATTGTCAATTATGAGTTTAGATAATTTAGGGGGTTAAAGTATAACTGAAAAAATCTTGGATTGACTCTATCGGATAAGACTGTGTCTAATTGATATAAGACTCTTAACAACTGTTATTTATGGTATTTTCTGACGACGTAACATAACAAACGAGTAATAATGTTACGCTTATAGACTCTTTGAAGTTAAGTTTAATCTTGTTTAATGTTTCTTGAGATTCAAGTATTGGAAAGGCACATGGGTTGTGTGGTTGTAAATTATATGATACGATTTAGGTGACAGGCTGCTATTTCTTTGGATTGAATTTGACGATTGTTAATGTCTCTATTATTTGTTAAAGATTTATGTGAAATATAATATTATACCAAGCTTCCACTATGATTAGAATATGGACTGATTTGGTCAATTATACACATCATGCTGGTTTAATGTATTTGTTCTTATTTACTAACATGCAAGGGTGCTATGTGTGGCCTCTCCAAACTTAAGGGCGTTATATGAAATTTGTGGTAGAATACACATCATGCTGGTTTAATGTATTTGTTCTTATTCACTAACATGCAAGGGTGCTATGTGTGGCCTCTCCAAACTTAAGGGTGTTATATGAAATTTGTGGTAGAAAAGAAAAAGAAGAATAGAAAGAGAAACTTTGGTGCCTTTGTTTTTCGAAGCGAAAATTCATAAAGTCTGCGGACCATCTCTACAACATTTTGCAGCAGAAGATGTGGACCAAACAGTTGCAGCTTGTAATCAGAAGTCTGTTTGTTTTTTAACATATGCAGCTTGCTACAATAAACTGAAATTTAAGTAAGCTGATTTTACAAACTGAAAACAGTTCTCAATACCGAAATTTTAATAATTATAGTATAAAAATATTGAAAGAATACTAAAATGAACATGTAAAAAAACAAAAATATAAAATTTCTAAAAAAAAAGCTAAAAAAATGTAAAATAAGCTATTAGTTTTTTTTTTTTTTTGGAAAAAACTAATTTTAAAGAACATAAAAAAAATTATAAAAAATCAAGAAATTATTGCAAACAATGTCTAGAAAATCCGTAAAAGAATCACACATTGTAAGATCCCAAAAATCACAAAAAAATTTAACTTTTCAAAAACAACCCAAAACCATAAATGTTTACAAAACCATTGTTTCAAAAGTGTATTTCAGTAATCAGAGTATCCCAAAATCCAAATAACATAAAACCGAAAGATGTTCACGATCACGCCTTCGCCTTGCCACGATCATCTGAAGTACCTGAAACAATAAATTGAAACTGTAAGCCACAGTTTAGTGAGTTCCCCCAATGTACCAACACACACAATATATAACATCATATATTGGGTCCACAGCTAACAGACTCGATTACCCCTGAACCCATAATATGAGTCCGGCTTGCCTTTCAGGCCCACAACTCATATCTGGCTTGCTCTCAAGCCCGCAACATAAGTCTGGCTTGCCCTTCAGGCCCACAACTTATGTATGGCTTGCTCCTGGGTTTGTTGGCTACCGCACAAAGCTAGTTTTAGTCTCCATGATGTTGGAAATAGTGTCCAAGATCATTAACTAGTCGATAATATTTCTAAATAATAACAAGGTTCTTTTGGGTTGGCCTCATGACACAATCAATGAGAAGGAAATGGAGAAAATTAACTTGTTAATTTATTATGAATTAATAAATTAATTGGAAATTATAGATTAATTGAAATATTCTATAAGCCTCTTGGAGAGGAGACATGGAAGATTTTATCCAAAAGGATTAGAATTAGGTAGGTTTTTCATAAGGATAATGATTATCCTTAGGAAACTGATCAACTTAAGGATTTTGGTTGCTGCTTGGCCTGGAGTCAAACCCAAGATGCTTCCTAGCCCTAAAAATTTCGTTCACCCCTCTTTCCTCTCTCTCCATGGCTGAAAATTATAACCTTTCACTAGGGTTATGGAATTCGACTTATCCCTTTTTAGGGTTTTCATTGATTTGCTTCTTGGAGTCTTAGGTCTGACTACATTAGAGGGTTTCTCCTTTGGGTCCTTTATCCATTGCAAAAGTTTCTTCTCAACATCAAGAGGTAAGTGGTTTATCCTTTTCCGTAGTTAATTTTAAAGTACGTTGCTAACTAGTAAAACCTAGATCTTAGGGTGCATGTACACTTAGGTAAAATTTTAATTGTTTCCGCTACCTAGTTAATATGTATTTGATGTTTATAAAACCCAACAATAGTATTGAAGCCAATATGTTTTAGTTTTTTGCACTACTTTGTAAAATCGAAGAAACTGAAAGAAACCCGTATTGTTGCAAGGCACGACGCGCCTTTTCATGGATGTGAAGTGCCTCCTGTTTTTCAGATTCCAGATTTTTTTTTTCCAATTTTTCGAAAATTTGTGGATAAACCCCTTGATTAAAATATTATTTTAATTGTTTTAATCTTAATATTCATGTAACGCCTAGTTCTTGGTATGTATTTAAAATCAAAATTTATTCACTTTTGTAGAGAAACTCGACGAGTTGGGAGCCCCACTCGACTCCCAACTCATCGAGTGGAGATGATTTGGGACGCGGGTTAAGAAGCCTACTCAACGAGTTGGGAGGCCTCAACTCGACAAGTAGGCTGGCAGAAATGAAACCCTAATCCCGTGGTTTTGCACCCTATTTAAACACCTTAACCCCAAGGTGTTGGCCTCATCTCCAGCCTCCACTGTCTAAAACCCTAATCTTGAAATCCTAAACCATTTTTGGTGATTGTAATATAATCTTGTGCATTTTTGGTGAGTTTGAAGAAGAGGAAGCTTAAAGGAGGAGCAAGAACGTGTGGAAGGAGAGTAGATCCAGAAGTTGGGCTTCATTTGTTATTCATCTAAGGTATAAAGCTTCAACCTTGTCCATGGCATGCTTAGATCTAGTTTTAGGATGCTTTCTTTCATGTTATGGTCCAAGTATATTGGTTGTTGGGATTTGGATGTACCAAGTAAAGAACACTTCAGATCTAAGGCCTTGAGGGGTTTTCATGGCATAAAGGTGTCAACTTTATGACCATGGAAGCAAGGGCGGAACACAAGCAAGAAAAGAAGGGGGGCGAATCCATATATATATATATATATATATATATATATATATATAATTTATCTAGGTACAATTAAGTTTTGACAATTTAACTAAAGATCTTAAGATAAATATAAAATACTAATAAAAAAGCCAAAGTAAATCAATTAATTTGAGTTATACCATGTATTCTCTGAACCAAGAGTAATGTGACCTTTAACTACAAAAAGCATTATAAAAATATATAATAAACATATGATAAAGACATGTCAAGAAAAGGTATTAAAAGGTCACAATAACTCTACTCTATACTCTGAGTATCTGATATTGTGTAAATCTCAAAGCATAATTATTGAAAAAAGAAAATAAATATCAACACATGTTCGAGTCTAAGTCTCAAAAGCAAAACAGAAGATAAACAAAAACTGAGAAGAAGAATGCGTATATGTTGCAGCGACGGTGGATGGGTGAGGCAAGCGACAACAAGGGCAAGGATCCGGCTGTTGGTGATGTTTTTCACACTCCCTGTATCTAGTTTTCTTTGAACTTATGAAGATAATTTTTACTCTTTGATCTTTAAGATTTCTATTGTTTCTGCAACTTCTTTCCTCCTACTTTTTCTCCTAGTTTATCTCTTTTGCTGTAACCGATCTTTAAAACAATATTGTTGTTTACTATTTATTTTTCTCACATGTATGAGAGCAAATATATATCCAGTTATAGATTATAGCTTCATATTCTGTTCTACACCGAGCTAATGGGTATATTATATTCTCTTGTTAGCCTTCTGAAAATCCTGAGGGGCCAATAGTAATATTTACCCTAAACTAATAAGTTAATTTATAATTTTTTAGGTGTTAGAAGACAATAAAGCAGGGGGGCCATGGCCCCTGCTGCCCCCTAAAGGGATCCGCCCCTGCATGGAAGTCCCATGCAACCTTTAGACCATTATTTTGGACTTTTGAAGCTCTAATGGCCATGCATGAGGATAAAGTTTAAGACTTTACGTGGTCATTTAGTCTCTAGAGCCCAGATCTATGACCTCATGGTCTATCTTGTAGTTTTAGTTGGCTTTGGATCAAGACCTTAGGCTTTTTGGGTTAGAGTTAGAGCTTATTTCTTCTAGAGTGGGTTTTGATGGGTAAAGTTGGAAACTTTACCCTGCTAGATGTATTTTCGGTCTAGATCTAGAATATGGGACTTGGATTTGAAGAATAATGGCAGAATGGATTAAGAAGGGTTAACAGACTGAAGAACTCGACGAGTTCATAAAGGAACTCGACGAGTTGAATTGAAGTGTCCCAATTCTGTAATAGGGAAGAACTCGACGAGTTCATGGAAGAACTCCACGAGTTGGATCGCAAAATCACGATTCTGCGGTTCTTAGAAACTCGACGAGTTGAGTCAAATCGGAGCGTTGACTTTGACTATGAACATAGTTGACCCTAAGGGGGCCATGAGTATGAATTGCTATCTAAGAGGTTGCTCTGCTTAGGGGTTTGAGTAGAGCTGATTCTGGAGCAGAGACGTTTCAGCGAGCACCCGACATTTAAGGTGAGTTTCC